CTGCATCCTGAGCATCCGCCCTATTTGTGCTTGCTCCCCTGCTGTGTCCGTCAGCCTGAAACAGTGAAGGAGGGGGGGAGGACTGAGTTCTTCTTGGTTCTCTACAAAGCCCAGGAGTTCCACAAGTTGGGGCAGAGATCCCAGGTTAGCCCTGAACGGCCTCCGAGGAGGTGTTTGTCCTGCTTGTCTGTTAGCTAGCCCCCCTCCCGTGAGCCTGCTCTGCCCTTCCTCAGAAGGAGGGGGCCACCATGGCTGCTCTGACATGACCTGGCAGTGTCCTCCCTGCTCTGGTTAGGCCTGCGAGCAGCAAGGTAGGATTCAGCCCTTACCGTCTTTGTGAATCCCGTTTCAGGTTTGTCCCTGCTGGCTCAGAACCTGCAACTTTGGGAGGCCCCCCCCCCCCCCAACTCCAGCATACCTTTAAACTTTTTCCTAACTTATTTAATATTGAAGCTGCCTATAGTTCTTGCTCAATATTTCAATTAGAGGCCCCTTCGGAAATCAAGTTGCCTGGGAATCCTTGTTCCCAAAACCAAGATCTTCTCGAGAGAAGGTCCCTAAAATTGAGATCAGAGACCTTGAGAGGGCCAAGGCTGAGGCGGGGCTGTGAGGCATGCTAGCAGAAGCCCGACTCCTCCCTGAGACAGCCATAGGCCGAGGCAGGAGTTTGAAGCTAGCCTGAGCTACATGCCTCAAATGCGTACACCCAAAAGAAAGAAGAGAGGAGCCTTGCTGCCCAGGGGTGAGGAATGGAGCTGTAGGGTGAGGACTTACCAGAGCCCAGCGTCGGCCATGCCAGGGTGAGCCCAGCCCTGTGACGTGACCTGCCCGTGCGGTGAGAGTCACACATGGACTTTGTGTGCCGCCCGCCCGCCCTGTTAGCAGAAGGACACAGCTGCGGTTGGGCAGCCTGGGTGGAGAAGTGTGTGCCCTCCCCGAGTCTGCGGTGGTCTCTGCTTGTGCGGCCTCCCGGCCCACTCACCTGCTGGTCCAAGGAGTCCTTCCATACACCTGGCGCTTCAGAGCCTGCCCTTGGCCAAGGCACCGATGCCTCTGGGAGAGGCTGACAACCTGGGAGGACTTCTCTCCACAGGGAGCTCCAATCAGATGTGGCTTGGCTGCAGGGCCCAGGCAGCAGGCCAAGAAGGGCCGGAAATGCTCCAAATCTCTCCTTCCTCCGACAGCCAAGGGAGGGAGGCTGCCCAGAGAGGCCATTTTATAGTGAGAGCCAGCCCTGCCCCCTGCTCTGGGGGGATGAGACTGGGGGGGCGGTACTTGGGGGTGTTGGGGAGAGTGAGCCAAGAGAGCATCCTGTATGTGAATGATGGTCTTGTTACATTCCCATAGCTCAAGGAGTTGCCTTCGGCCCAGTGCGGGGCTGTGTGGATTTCCTGTGAGGCGTTCCTTGACTGGGATACAGACCTGTGTTGTTGGCAACCGTGATATCCGAACCTGACCTTCAGAAGGTTAAAACTAATGCCATCCCGGTCAGGCCAGGGTTCGTCTGTACGTGTGCACGCATGTGTGCAGACACATGCTTCTTACTGAGGCTGTAGGGTGCGCAAGGACCGTGTTCATGTCGGGTGTTGCTTGTCAGGCTCAGGGTACCGTTTAGGGCAGCTGGAGTGGGAAAGAACTGTTTTGGTGGACTGGGGAGTAGGTGGGGGGAGGATTTCTCCCAGGCACTCACCCCTCATCTGACCTTGAACTTGAACCATAGGGTGGGGGTAGGAAGGCCCTACATCCCCTGCTGCTGGGATTCTGGAACGACCCATGCCACCCCTGGTTAGTGATTCATCTTGAGACCTCTACAAACCAGGCCCAGGCTGTTGCCAGTTAGTGTAGCTGTTAGTTTTAGAGGCTGTCCAGGACCTTACTCATACATTCTGTTTATCCTGAGTGAGGTCTTGCTGCTGTCCCAACTTAGCACTAAGGAAACCAAGGCTGCATGGTTGAATCAGGAGCGGGCAGAATCTGGAGCCCAGCCCAGACGGTCCCAAGTCGGGGACACCTCCCCGGCTGCTGCTCTCCAGCGTCTGCCTCAGTAGGAAGACAGGGCGCTGGCTTCTAGTCTCCTCCCCTGCTCTTCCCTATGCTTAGGGCTGGCTCCCCCATTGTGCCTTTGCTGGCCTTTGTGGACATCCAGAGGTTTGGGGCGCGTGGAGCAGGTGTGTATCAGCAGGCAGGATCCATAGAGAGGGTGTGGCTGGGGGAGGGAGGGGTGGGGTGGAGGAGGAGGAGGGTGAGCAGCATTCCGTGGGGATCTACCTTCCTTGTCAGGGATACTGTGCACTGTAAAATCCCTTCAGCCCTGAGCGGTCTTGTGCCTGCCCGTGTTCCTCTCCTGGGGAGGTGGACTAGTGTCCACCCCACGATGAACTGGTCGGGAGAATGGCCTGCACCCTGCCCGTCAGGGCTGCAGCGCAGAGTGTGGAGTCTAAGGAGCCAACGAAAGATTCTCTGTGCTTGGGAGGGATGGGAACTGCGTCTCACTGACCTGCCCAAGGACACCAAAGAGAGCGGGGGGGGGGGGGGGGGGGGGGGGGGGGGGGGGGGGGGGAGACATGGGGGCTCCAGACGGATCACTCACCAGTTCATCCTGGGGCAGAAAAGCCTAGTAGTGCTGCTGCAAGGACTCTTGGGAAATGCCTGAGAGCCTTGGCTCTGGGTTCAAATCCTGACTCGGCTGCCGTATCACCACATGACACCCCACTCCTACCCCCCCCCTCAGGAGGGAAACTGCAAACTGGGGGGGGGGGCAGGACCTACAAATGAATTTCTAGTGAGAATTCAGTGAGGTCGTGACGTATGGCTCTGGTGCTGTGTGAGCGTGGCTGAGGCCCGGAAAGCCTCCCTCGGGCACTAGGCTCCTCTGGAGCCACCTTCTTGCCTCACAGGGAGCCACTCTGTCTCTAGTGCTCTGGGATATGACAGCAGAGTGGAGGCTTCTCCAGGACCCAGCTCTGTGGGAGCAGCAGTTGGAGGGATTATTAAACACCTGCCAGGCAGGGGCCAACTGTAACAGGCCAGGCCTTTGTTAGTCCTGAGGGGAAGCGGCCGGCCGTGGTGGGGAGGCTGAATTCAGCCCGATGACCCTGAGGAGTAGTGTCTGTAAGAGTGAGGCTGCTATGAAGTGGGCCTGTGAGAGGAAGACGCTAGGCCAGCCTCACAGTGTGGGTGTGGGGCGTTTGCCCTGAGAGCCTGCTCTCAAGGTCAGTGTGTTTGTGACCTCTCGAAATGGCAGCGGCTGTTGGTCACTCTGCTTTGGAGAAGCCTCTCCTCTGCCCTGCAAAGTTCAAGGTCCCTGCTTAGGCCTGGGACGCTGGTGTGTCTGTTGGGCCTCTCTGGCCCCGGCCAGCTGCCTCTTTTACCCTCGCCTGTCGGGGTCACTCGGCCTTCACAGTTCCTGTCACCACGCTAAGATGGGGAGCACATTTCTGATGTGGCCTCTCTTCAGGAAAGGCCTGGGTTGTGCGGCCTTTTAAGAAAGCCTCCGTGCCTGGGTTAAGCTTCCAACTGTGGTTGTGTGTGTGAAGAAACCATAACCCAAGGCTTTGTGTCTGCGTTGTCCTGAGTCCCTGAAAGTGGGGTTCAATGTGGGCCAGCAGGCAGGTCGGTCAGCAGCTCCTTCCCTCTGGCTTCTGCAGAGATGGCTAAGAGGGTGTCTGGAGGGAGGTCCTTTCCGAGGAATCAACTACTTACCCCGCCGGGGCCGCCGTCGTTACGCACCGGGCCTCGCTTTGAATTTGGTCTTTGAGAAGGTTTTGGCAGAAGTAGTTCACAGCAAAAGGCCCCAAGAAACCTTGGTTCTTCCTAAGTAGCCAGGAGGTTGCAAGTGATGCCAAAGGGGCCAGTCAGCAAGATGGTCCAGTCCAGTGCTGCCCGCCGTCCTGCAGGCCTGATGGACGGCCTGGAGTCCACACACAGGTGGGAGGGACTCCATAAACATTTGTCCTCTGACTTCACAGCTTTTAAAAGTGATGCCCAGATTTCCAGGCCATTTCCTGGAAAGGCTCGGCTGCTTTCAGAGAGGTCCCCAGGGCCATAACCCAGAAGGGGGAGAGAACTCTGCCTCCCCCGCTAGGGAAGCCCTGGCTGTCGGGGTGAGAGCAGCGCCCTGCTGCTGATCCCCACTTCACTGTAGCCTGCTGTCCAGGGAACGGCTTGGTTTTTCTCTCCTCTTCCCCGTGGTCTCAGGCAGCCAGGTCGGGCTCTGCCGTCCCCTACTCCCTCAGGGACCTCCCTCCAGCAGGAGCCTACGCCGCCATGTTTCCCCTCCCCTAAGAAGAGCATAGGGAAACTCTGGGGGTTCACGGTTTGTTGGGCTTTCCCACACAGAGGCGCCCAGGACCTGTGGCTGGGGACTGTTCCATAACTGGTTGTACAGCGCCACCTCCTGGCCACAGTGCCCTGCACAGCGGCTCCTTGTTTGTGTAACAGCAGAGCCGTTTCTGGAGTCAGGGAACTTGCAGAGGAAAAATCTGAAGCCCATTTGGGTCCTGTACGCCCTTTGCTTTGTATCAGTTCGGTCTTTCTGAGGCTGCATTGGCAAGCTTCTCATTAAAGCGGCTTTGTGTTTCCAAAGCCCAGATGGCCAAGGTAGGGCAGAACAGCTGTGGTCTGGGGAGCAGAGGCCTCAGTCTAAGACGGAAGGTTTTGCAAGGTGTGCATGACCTACGGTCTTAATCCCGTTTTCCCACCCAGCTCCCTGGAGTGGGAGAGGAGGAGAGTGGGTGGGCAGTGAAATATTAAGGAAAAGGCTAGATCATGAGACGGAAACAGATACAGAAAACTAGCATGCCGCCTTCCTGAGCTGCGGCTTGCGGGAGGGAATTCCTTTTTGTTGTTGTTGTTCAGTGTGCGTGTGTGTGTGTGCGCGACAGGCAAACACCACGAGGACAACTTGCAGGTGTTCTTTCTTCCCGTGGCGGCGTCGCTCAGGTTGTCAGGCTCGGTGGTAGGCACCTTACCCACTGACCCCTCAAACAACTCCTTTTGGGCAACTTCTGGGGTTCTAGGCAACTTGGGCTCAGGTCTGTTGCCGCTGATCAGGGTCTAAAGAAGCCAGCATGGAGCTGAATCACGGCGCCACCGACTCCTAGGTTACTCTCTTTCCTACAACTGGTAGTTTTCCTACAGGCTGGATCAGGAGAACTTAGGGCCTCGGGTTTGTTTGGGTGGCAGTGTGTTGTCTCTGGATCATGGAATACCCAGTTCATCTTGATACCCTTGAGACCCACCACAGTATGAAGATAAACCCTGTGCAGCTCAGTTCTCCCATTCCCAAACAGTGGGGAGCACTACTGTCTCCTCATTAAAGGGAGGATGCTGGGAAGCACACATTTCATCGTTACTGTATGAGTGAGCAGCGTGCACTGTGCTCCAGCAGAGCCTGGACCGGAGGGGGTGTGGGCATTGGGCGGCTGCTGGCAGAGACTGGTGCCGCTCTGGCTGATGGCCTTGTTGCTTCTTCCTCTCTAGGCCTAGTCTCCAAGTCCTCTCCTAAGAAGCCACGTGGCCGGAACATCTTCAAGGCGCTTTTCTGCTGTTTTCAGACCCAGCATGTTGTCCAGTCAGGCTCTCCCGCCGAGCTCACATACAAGGAGGAGACAAACACCATTGCTAAGGTAGCGGGCTGGGGTGGCCATTCTGGCCTGGTCTGGAACCGTGAAGATCCCTGGCCCAAAGGCCCTTCCTCCCTTCCCTTGGTAACCTGTCTCCTTTCTGATAGTTCTCGTCTGTGGGGTGGGCTGTTGAGGTGGTGCAGGTTCCAGGACCCCTGAAAGATGCCTTGCAGATATAGAAACTGAGGTCCATGGATATACTAAGTGTACCCCACGTTAACCACGGATAGTGGTGAGATTAGAACCCAAGTCTCTGGCTCTGAAAACTGTCTTCTGAGTGAGTTTCTTTGTAGAAACCAAGGAATTAAAAAGGCCCATGCTCTTAGTAACCACGATAGCATCCAGCTCTCAGGAGGCAGAGACAGGTGGATCTGAGTTCAAAGCCAGCCTGATCTACATAGCAAGTTTCAGGCCAGTCTGAGCTACATAGTGAGACCCTTTCTCAATACAAAACAGCAACAAACCAACCAAC